GGAGGGAGGGAGGGAGGGAGGGAGGGAGACAGCCACAGCCAAGAGGAAGTAACAAAAGGGACGTCAACTTCACCCAAAGCAGCTTAGACTCGAGCTGTGTGTCAGCCTAAACCTCGAGGCTCACCTAAACCGTGAGCCTCCAGAGCTTGATGCCAGGTGACCGCGTTGGCATCGTGGGATAGATTTATGGTCACCCATAGAACGCCATCCACACTGTATGGCAGGGGACCCCTTTGCAACTTTCCTTTCTCAGGGTGTTGACTCCGGAGAGTGCAGAAGTCAGCCTGGCTTTAAGGCACACAGGACCTGGAGATGGCAGCGAGCCCAGGCCACACCCTGGAGCTGATAGAGTGATTCAGAGTCAGGTGGAAATAAAACCTGAGCTCAGGAAGAGCCTGGCCTGCAGCCCAATGATCAGGCAGAAAGGAAAGGACATTTCCTCAAGTCCGGGGCTTGCAGAGCTGGAACCAGATTCCTGGCCCACCACCCTGGGCGAACCCACAACCCTCCCCTCTGTTCATGTGGGTAGCCCAGGCCTGTCACATGGCTGCTCATTCTAGACTGCTCTAAGCTGCAGGAAGAGGACCTTGTTACCTTTCGTCAGATAAATAGTGGCCCCTAGTGATGTCTACATCCTAGTCCCCATGTGGCAGACACAATAAAGTCCCTGTATTAGTCCATTTCTGTTGTTTAAAACAAAGCACTTGGAACTAGGTAATTTGTAAGAAAATGAAATGCATTGCTTGCAGTTTGGGAGTCTGGGAAGTCCAGAGTCCAGGGCACACAGGTGGTGACAGCTTTCTTTGGTGGCAACTTCAGGGATGCAGGGAATCACATTGTGAAATGGTGGAGCAGAGAGACACTCTCGTGAGCTCTCCTTTTAAAGCCCTCAGACCCACGACCCTGACCACCATTATTAATCCATTCACTACGGCACGGTCCTACAATCCAGTCACCTCTTCAAGTCCCCACCTTTCAATGACCACACTAGGATTTCCCACCCTCTTAACAGTGTCACAATGGAGGCCAAGTTCCTAATACCTGGAACTTTGGGGGACACAATTTAAGCTTCACAGAGTTTGGGGAGATTTTTCAAGCCACAGCAGTCACCAAAGATGTCCATGTCCTAGTCCCCAGGTGCTAGACAGAAATATGTCCCCCGAAGATGTCCACATCCTAATCCCAATGTGGTAGACAGAATAATGTCCCCCAAAGATGTCCAAGCCATAACACCGGGACCCATAAATATGTAACCTATGTGGCAAAAGAGACTTTGCAGATGTGATTAAGAACTCTGAGATGGAAACATGACCCTGGATCATCCAGGTGTGTCCTCAAAGTACTCACATGGGTCCCTATCAGAAGGGGCAGGAAGGTCAGAGTCAGAGGAGGAGATGTGAGGTTGGAAGCTGAGTTTGCAGCGATGCACTTGGAATATGGAGGAATGGGTCACGAGCCATATCTGTGTGAAGGGTATTCCAAGAAGTCCATATTATCCCTTAATTCCCTCTTTCCATGAACTAGTTTTTGGTGGCTGGCCAGCACAGGGATCAAGCTCTGGACCTTGGTGTCTTCAGCACCACGCTCTACCCAACTGAGCTACCCAGCCAGCCCCCACTTTTCCACGAACTTTTTGAAGTGTCCTTGTATATACAGGCAACCTCCTTATCCATGGGTTCTGCATCCATAGATTCGACCAACCACGGATCGAAAATATCCAAAAAAATAAAATTGTGTCTGTGCTGAACGTGTACAGACTTTTTTCTTATTATTTCCTGACCAATATGGCAACAATGTATACCTCATTTACATGATTCAGTATTATAGATAATCTAGAGATGATTTAAAGTATATGAGGATTACGTAGGTGATATGCAAATATTACATCATTTTATATCAGGGACTTGCACACCTGTGGATTTTGGTTTCCATGGGAGGTCCTGAGACCAATTCCCGACGGATACTGAGAGATGACCGTACACACACACACACACACACACACACACACACACACACACACACACACACACACCTTATATTTTCTGTATATGTTACATCCCAAACTGTCCTGTTTCCACCCTTCAGCTGTGGTTCTGGGGGCTACACCTGCTTTTAGCACAGTCTGCTCTAGAGAAAAATTCAATTCAATTTGTGTTTTCCACCCAGCAATCCTGGATGGCAGAAAGCCGTTTGCAATAGAAGAGAGACGGATGCTAGTCCTAACACAGACCCTGAGTACAGGCTGTAAATGAGAAGAGAGTTTCCCAGGCACAAACTTGACCTTAGAGAATAAAATCAGGGGCAAGTGAGTTCTGCTCTGTCTTTAAGCCCATCACCAAGGGTTAGCCTGTGGTTGGTGAGTTGGGAACAGGGTATCCACCACACATGGGTGCTGGGAATCAGGGCCTCAGGTCTCCTTAAACACACTGTATGGGGGACCCCCACCCATGGGCTCTGGTGCATGGGTGCTGGGGACGTAGGGTTGAGCATCTCTCCCCAAACACTCTGCAGAGAGACAACTCTGCCCCTGGGCTCTGGTGGGTGTGAGGAGTTAGGTTGGGGGGTCTGTTCCCAAACACACTGAGTGAAGCAACCCTTCCAACCTGACACAGATGCAGGTGTCCTGTGTATGTTTCTTTCCTACACAGTCTCCCTCGGGAAACATCCCCTGAGGTCCCCACCCAGGAACCCCCCGGGAGAGCCAATGTTCTCAATGTGCAAATCTCTCTCTCCCTCTAGTGCTTCTGTGTCCCACGGGCAGCCACATGGGTCTCCAGGCCACGGTCCTTATACTGTCTTTGATCCTGGAGCCAGAGTTCCTCCTGACCCAGGAGCAACTGGGTAAGTGTGGGAACTGGGTTGACTCATTCATTTGACCCCTTTTAGATGTCCCTACTGTCCAGGGACATATCCCAATACCTGAGTCCAGTGTCATTTTATCTCTAATGATTATTAGGGACCTGGGACACCCCAGCCAGCCATGGTTTTCCAACATGCAAGCAAAATATGCTTCATTTTCCCTGACTGTGGGCAGCAGGATGTCGAGGGTCTCTCCCAGGTACGGTGTTTCCAGCAGGGGACAACCAAACACCTGACTTAAATAGTGAGCACATTGTCCTGCTCAAAATGCCCATGCAGGAACAGCCCCGGTGCAGCTGGGTGGGTGCTGGTCCTACACATAACCCTTCCTGGACTGCACTTGGAGCTTCAGTTTTGACGGTCACACCAAGACACAACTGTGTCCACAGCCAGAACATGGGTTTCTATCCCTTGCATTTCTAATTTGAAAGGAGGAGAATGTCCCTGGAAGCCCCTGGGGGCCACTGGCGGGGCTGTGAACAGACCCTGTCAGGCACCTGGAGCAGCTCCAGAGCCACCTGTAGGGAGGGTGCAGGATGAGCTGGCTCTGGATGCTGGTGGCAGAAAGAGGGACAGAGACAGCCAGGGCCACAGCAGAGTGTCTGCCCATGTGCCAGGGAGGAAATTCACTCTGGAGACCCTGCTCCTTGACTTGAGGAGCTCAGGAGACCCAGAGAGTGAGTCCCCAGATGAGGCAAGGAGCTGAGGACATCCTCGTTACACACCTGGAGGACTGCTCAGATCTCATCGCTTGTGCTGGGAAGATAAACTGTGGTGAGGCGTCCCAGCATGTGGGCCTGTGCGTGTGTGTGCGAGTGCATTTTAGGATGTGTATAGGTGTGTGTGCGAGTGTGTTTTGAGATGTGTGAGGGAGTGTGCATATAAGTGTATAGGGGTGAGTGTGTTCTGAGATGCATATGGTGTGTGTGCATATAACTGTGTAAGTGTGTGCATGTGTGTGAGCTTGTGAAAGCGTGTCCATGTGTCCATGCTCAGATTCTTCCCTGCATCCTGTGTCTTCAGAGATAAGGACATGCCCTTTTTCCTGGTACAGGGAGGGTGCCTCTCCAGTGAGGGTCTTATGACCTGCTTCAGAAGGGCAAATTCCTTCTAGGTCTCATGAGCTGGTTCAGGGGTGAGGGAGAGGTGATGGTGACAGGGACCTGCCTTCTTCTGCAGTTTTCTGAAACTCCTTTGGCTTAAAACACTCAGTATGCCTAGGTGCCCTTGGGAAGGAGTGTTCTGAGCCCACCCTTGTGAATAAATAGCTTCTACCTGTCCTCATTCAGGTGGTTTTCAATAATTTCTGCAGTGCCGATCTCACGTGGAGAAAGGGCAAGGTCACCCAGGCAGGAAGGAGGATGGGCCAAGATGAGGAGATTACTGCAGATGTGGCAATGTCCTGGGGCCACCTGGGAGGCAAGGGAAGGAAGGGTGAAGGCTCTGGAGTGGGTCTTCACTGTCAGGTGAGAGATGCACTGGTTGGGGAGTGGAGACAGGAAAAGAGTAATTTCTGAATCCAGCGGACACTCCCTGCAGATCCGCCAACCAGGGAACCAGTCTCCAGCTCTAGTCTAAATGTGAAGTTCAACCCAAGGACAATGGCGTTAACTTGGGACTGCAAAGAAAATGCCACCGACATCCAGTGTTTGATGATTCACAAGGAAAAAGGACGAATTATCAAAAAGGTGAGATGGATTTTATGTGCTCAGTGGCTGTCCTTCCCAGAGCCATCATGAAGTTAAAAACAAGAACAGAGACAAATTCAAAATACACACAGGATGTTAGAGAAAATCGAGGAGCCATGATTCTAGGTGGGCCAGGGAAGTGTTCGAGATGTGTGCAGGGGCTGAATTCCCTGGGGATGGCAGGGGCTTCCCCTAAGAGAAAAGGGATCCTGGCAGATGGGCTATACCTGATATCTGAGCCTGCTGAGCCCGGGTCTGTGGAGAAAGCACAGGGAGCAGCGTGAGGGCCTCATTGGCTTTGACGCCTCCCACAGACCTAATTCTAGGATTTAGGGAAGGGGAGACAGAGACAGAAGAGGAGATGGGAGAAAGAGAGAGAGTAGGACAGGAGAGAGGAAGACAGAAAGACGGAGGATATGCAGATGACAGATCAATGCTAGATAGGTAAAAGAGGTGATAACCGATAGATGCAATAGATGATAGATTATGCATAGACAGATGACAGACAGAGGACAGGTGGACAGATAGATGATTACTAGATATAATAGGTACAACGCATGGTAGGTGGACAGATAGGTAGGTAGATGGTCGATCGATAGATGATAAATGCTACACACATAAGATAGATGGTAAGTAGGGAAATGGTAGAGGACAGATAGATGATAAATACATGTTGGTAGAATATAATAGGGAGATGGGAAGGAGGAAGACAAGGGGGTGGAAAGAGAGGGTTCTCAGTCTGCTTTTACAGACCTCCCACCTGGACCGTGGGGACACGAATGCCCTTACTCAGCGCCCACAGCCCACCATGTGCAGCTCCAGGGAGCCGACCCAGGCCCCCAGGTGTCCATGCCAGTGGAGGAGACCCCAGACCAGAGCTCCTGTGGGGCCAGAATAGGAAGAGGCTCCCAGAGTCCCAGGGGAGGTGAGACCCCAGCGAGGCCCACAGGGACTCTCAGCCACTCCAGCCCGGAGGAAGAGGACGTGGGGCTGGCTGGCAGGATGAGGGCAGCAAGGGGCAATCAGGGCAAGACATACAGTTATGATGTGGCTCTCAAACTTTGGGACCCCTTCAGGGTCCAGGTAGCATAACAGAATGGCCCACCCTTTGCTTATTTGATTCATCAGAGGTGGTCCAAGTGGTAGACTAATCCTGAGAAAGAAACACCACTAGTGTTAACTTTTCAATTCATCAAACAAAGTAAGTAGACTGAGTTGGATACAATGTAACTGTGGAGAATTGGATACGATGTGAGTCGAAGAGTCGATTACAAAGTAACCTTGGAGAGCTGGGTACAAAGTAACTATGGAGAGTTGGATACAATGTAACTGCAGTGAGCTGGGTACAAAGTAACCATGGAGAGTTGGATACAATGTAACTGCAGAGAGCTGGGTACAAAGTAACTATGGAGAGTTGGATACAATATAGCTGCAGAGAGCTGGATACAAAGTAACTATGGAGAGTTGGGTACAATGTAACTGCAGAGAGCTGGGTACAAAGTAACTATGGAGAGTTGGATACAATGTAACTGTGAAATGTGGTAAAATGATGGCTACATGATAGAGCAAAACCAGGCAAAAGAGTGTGTGTTTGGCTCTACAGGATTTAGTGATAACGAACCTCAGCACTCCAAGTGTGCTGCATCACTTGGGAGCTTATTAGAAACGCAGAAACTCAAGCTCTACCCTGGAATTGCTGGATCCAAACCTGCATTTCAGCAGACTCCCCTCTGGAGGTCCTGAGCACATGTGGAAACATGAGTTCTAGTCTGATCCTCTAAGCGCTGCTAGAGAATGTGGAGTTGAGTTTCCATCTTCACATGGACATTTGGGGCAAATACTCAGGGTCTGGGAGGAGGTGTAGGGGGAGATTTCACAAAGGGAGGCAGGTGGGTGTCACAGGGTGGGGGTCATGGGAGAGAAGCCTGTTTGCTAACCCGCCTGTTGGTTGCAATGTTTTAGCCCACGAAGGAAGAATGCTCATGTGCGTTTCAGGAATTTTCTCTGCACGAAGGAGTCACACTCGAGGTTTGCATTAGTACCAGTCAAAGATTGTTTCAAGAAAAACTGCTCTTTACTAACCCAGGTAGGAAAGCTAGCATGGTGATCCTCAGCATCAAAGCAGATCCGCTCTGAACCTTCGAGCAAAAATTATTTTGTCTCTGCCTCTTCCCAGGTGGGGCGGGCACAGCGGCCTGGAACTTCTCCTGTGTTATCTACAATGCGGATTTCATGAACTGCACCTGGGCGAAGGGCCCAGCAGCCCCCCGTGACGTGCAGTATTTTTTGTACATGCAAAACTCAAAGTAAGCTGGTACCACCTAGACAACCATGAGGGAGGCAGTGAAGAGAGGAAAACGCTTTTTAAAAAAATTTTTCCTGACTGCACTCTGAACACTTTGGCATCTTACAGGAAGACAGAAAGGGAAAGAGAGTGTCCTCATTATATACAGGACTCGGGGACCCACGTGGGATGCCACATGGAAGACCTCTCAGGCCTATCTTTCCGAAATTACTTCCTGGTTAACGGAACCAGCCAAGGAACAGGAATCCAATTCTTCGATACAATTTTGTCGATAAAGGAGATAGGTGAGATCGACCACTTAGCGTTGTTTACATTGAAATCTGTAGAAGATTCCGGGGCTGCTGTAACAAATCAGCACAAAAGATCCCACTTCGCTTTCATGTACAGTATAATCTGCATCACGGTGGTGTACAGGACAGGTTATATTCTTTGTTTCAAGCTTCCAAATCCAGTCCGTGTTTTGCAGGTGCAGCGCACCTTGATTTGAAAGTTAAATGGAAGCAGATCTATTTCAGGTGAAAGCAGATTTGATAAGATTTTAGGTCGCAAGAGAAAGGTTTCCCCCAGCCCACTTGCCCGCACGCACTTTAGGAAGTTCCAATGAGAGAATCAAGTCTCAGGTTTTGGAAGGGAATGTATGATAGTTAAACGGCATCATATACAAAACCCCACTCTGTTTATGGCTAAGCAGCACCCCATCGCCATGTGGATGGCTCCCCCTTCACATATCCATTCACCCTGGAAGGACATAGTTTCTTGCTCTTTTAAGACATGTACTCTCCTCCTCAACTCCAAATACTTCCCTAACTTTGGATAACCTGGCACCTCTTCACGGCCTGCCAGACGGTCGTCTGTCTGTACAGCTGAGCCTACAGGTGCAGGTGCAGCTTTCTCCAACTCTCTTGAGAATCTGAAAAACTCCGAGCTCTCCACCAATCCTGGGCCCCCCACCTGCAGGCTCCCCCATCCCACTGGATGCTCCAGAACTCATCACACTCAAGATTCTCCAGCAAGCCTCTCCCATGCTCTCCAAACCCACCACTCCTCCCTTCCTGGGATCCCTGGCCCCATATGTTTCTCTCTTCTGTGCCAGCAGCTGCCTGGTCATCTCCCCCAGGCTCCAACATGCAGGCCCTCCCGAGACGCCTCATGAGCCATGGCAGCAGGTACTCTTGGTGTTGAGAATCTGTAGGGAAAACATAGGAAAATAGTCAGGGCCCCTCAGATGTTCAGAATCTTGCCGAGCATTTGATGTAAATGTGCGCGTGCGTCCAGGTGCTCCTCGGTTATTGTGTAATGTAACTGCGCGTGTGCACCCAGGTGTCCTGGGTTATGGACTTAAGTGTAAAGGACGAGCAGCTCTGATCCACGGTGCCCCCCGAATGCCCCCGGGGAGGCTGCTCCTGCTGCTGGAGGCTGTTGCTGCCAGGGCCCCCGGGACCGTCGGGGAGGCCACCACCAGTGTTACTGCTGCTGCTGCTGCTACCACTGAGGACTGAGCTCCTGTCATCTGCCACCGGCTCCCATAATCTTTCCTAATTACCTAGCTAGTGGACCTGTGAGGGGTCTGTTGACCCAGCCTGGCATATGAGGGTTTTTGTGATCCAGTCTGTGCAATGGGTTTGAAGGGTCTGTAGGCCCTAACCCTGACAACACAAATGGAAACTTAGTAAAACTGAAAGAATGAAACGTTTTGGCTTTAGTCATGAATTGCTTTAACAATACAATTGGCTGCAATGGCTGGAGTCTAACAATTTCCCCAGCTATACAATTGGCATAGTCGCCTAGCAACACAGCATCCCTGCCAGGTGGGAAGGGCCCAGCCCCACTACTGGACCAAGAGAGGACAGGTGTGTCTTGGTTTCTCATTACAGAACAATTCAGCCCGCCGGCCAATGTCACCGTCCACTGCAACACATCACACTGCCTCATCTGGTGGGAACAGCCAAGGACCTACAAACACAGGTCCTCTAAGGAGTTCCAGTACCAACTGGACATCCAGAGACAGGTCAGTGGATGCTATTCGGTCACCTTGATCAAGCCACAAGGAGCCTGGCTGCATAGGACAATCCCACAAAGTGGCACAGTGCACCTGGAGACACCACAAGGTTGGGTTGGGGGCTGATACTAAGTTGAAGGCAGGGGTGGCAGAGCTGGAGGCAGAATGCCTGGTGGCCTGAGGACCACACGCAGGGGGTTGCAGTGAAGGCAGCGACTACCACACCCACATGCAGAGAAGCCAGAAAAGAGGCTGAGAGATTTAGAGACAGATGCAATAAAGTGAGAAAGACATCCTCCTGCAGCACGCGCACCTGGACCCAACGTGGAGTAGGAGGAGGGCCCACCCCAGGTGCACCTGGGCCAGGTGCAGGGGGGGCTCGTCTCCCCCAGGTGCACCTGTACTCAGCATGGAGGAGGCAGTCCCCACCCCTTGAGAGGTGCACCTGGATGCTCTGTGGAGGAACAGTAGGGCCATCTGCCTGTTTCTTTCTCCTACACTCAAAGTGGACAAAGCCTGTGGATAACATTTGTAGGGCAGACGTATTGGGCTGGCTGGTTAGCTCAGCTGCTTGCAGCAAAGTCAAGGGTTCAGATCTTCGTACTGCTAGTTACCAGAAACCGAAAAACAAAATTTTTTTAAAAAGCCAAAAAGCAGAAATGCAGAAGTGTTAACCTTGTGTTGTGTTTTGCCTTTTTTTTTAGAGCCTGGAGTCCAGCAGTAGAAATTCCCTGGTAAGTTATACCGTTCCTGTGGATACGCCCTTGCTTAACCCTGTGATGTGGGTCAACGGGACACTCACTCAGTGCCAGCATGGCCCAGTGGTGTCCAGGATGGGGTGGGGTTTCGTAACCCTGGCATGGGTCACTGTGGAGAGCTGTTAAGTCACCCACAGGAGAGCCCTTCCACTTACCATCCCGGGGTGGGGTCCTACTCTTGGCTTCAGCTTTCAATACCCATTTGCTGAAATTATTTTTCTTCATGACATCTCACTAGTCTCCACATTCTATTCCTTTGTCATTATGTCGCTTAAGAACATAGTCTAGGGCCGGCCCAGTGGCGCACTGGATAGTGCACCGCTTGGGAAGCGCGGCGGCGCTCCCGCCCGAGGGTTCGGATCCCACATGCAGACCGGTTCCCGCTCACTGGCTGAGCGAGGTGCGGGAGCAACGCCGAGGGTTGCAATCCTGTTGCCGGTCCCCGGTCCGGTACGGGGGCGACACTGAGGGTTGCGATCCGTTGCCAGACACGGAAAAAAGACAAAAGACAAAAAAAAAAAAAAAAAAAGAACATAGTCTACTGATTGATTCACAGGCACAAGGAATGGTTAAGGTTTGTAATGACGTATTATCCTGATTTCATCATCGCACATGCTACGCGGGTATTGACAGTCAACTCTCTGCCCCACAAATATCTATAATCAATTGTGCTGTAATCTTTTAAAAAGTTCTACTGAATATTTAGAGAGATTTTTTTCCTATGAAATGTCTCTATAAAGGTAGATCATTAAAGGACTTCTGTGCGATTTTTTTTTTCCTAATCTCGCCACCACTCTGACCTTCAGTATCCTCTTCTGTCAAATGAGGAAGTTGTCTGCAGTCACTTTTATGTCCCTAGCACGTCCATCCGGCTGTGGGTCTGTTGATATTAATTCTTTAACAATTTCTGCATCTATATTCAGGGTGGCAGGAGGTCCTGGAGCCGTTAGTTACTTGGTGAACAGATGAATGAATAAGTCACGGCAATTATCCTCCTGAGCGCCCTTCCAAAGTTTTCAACACACGAAGACATACGTTTGTTTTCTAAACCGCATCCTTCTCCATCACGCTAGTGTTCGGTACTATAACAAGACGGTTTTGCGTTTGTTACAGACTCTCCCTCTTACCCTATGGTTTTCATGCCTAGATCGAGTGCACTTGGTTCTAAAGCTCTCGTTTATTTTAGCTGTGCAGTTTGCAAGACAACACACCCCTTCTTTTCTTGTCACCGATAGCCACTCTCTCTAACTCTCTGTTTTCTCCAAAGATTGATGTTTCGGGTGATTTTGAAAATAAATACAGCTTTCCAAGCCGGGAGCCCAGAGCTAAACACGCTGTGAAAATCAGAGCCGCCGATGCCCGGATTCCGCACTGGAGCGCCTGGAGCCAGCCCGTGGAGTTCGGTAAGCGTGTGGAGAGTACGCATGGCCACCTCGTGGGCTAGGACCATGCTGGGCAGATGTGAGGGACATTTGTGACACCCGAGACTACTTGGAGGGGGACAGAGAGGCCGGCAGGTCTACCACTTCTTTCCCTGGGTGCTGGGATTTGAATGAAGAGCACTGCTAGGGATATTTTCACACTTGAGTGAAATATTGAGTCTGAGCTGTCCCCAGGAGGGGGGTCTCCTGCATGGGCTGATGAGCTAGACTCCCTCAGTAGCCAAAGAAGGGACACATTTGGCCCCCTTTGTAAAGCCCCTACCTCCTACCCCTCCAAGAAAAGGTCGATCACTCTTTATCAAATCAAACAATCATCATTTTCGGTCCCCAGTCAACAATGGGTCTGTTTCCTGCTAATCAGGAGAAAGCCATCCCAGGCCACTAAAGAAAAAACACATTCAACTGGCTCCCTCCCTTTTAATTTATAACTTTTATTTGTTAGCAAGAATTTGATGTCTTAGCCCTAAAGCCAATCTGATAGTTAAAAGGTCTTTTACTCCCCTGAACATTTTCAAACATTTAAAAAATATTAGCATGCATTTTTATGCATAAAGTTTTTTTTCTAATGAAAGATCAATGACTTTAATTCTTATAACTCCCAGAATAGAATGTATATAAAATATTTATTCAGGGGCCGGCCCGGTGGCACACTGGATGGTGCGCCGCTTGGGAAGCGCGGCAGCGCTCCTGCCCGAGGGTTCGGATCCCACATACTGACCGGTTCCCGCTCGCTGGCTGAGCGAGGCGCGGGAGCAGCGCCGAGGCTTGCAATCCCGTTGCCGGTCCCCGGTCCGGTACGGGGGCAACACTGAGGGTTGCGATCCGTTGCCGGACATGGAAAAAAGACAAAAAGACAAAAAAATATATATATATTTATTCAGTATTATATCATAAGCTGAAACGGACTGCTAAACTTAGTAAGTGATTAATTTGCAATCTTGGATTTGACAGTGAAGTTTTCGCTATGACATCAAAAGCAGGAAGAAGAAAAAACATAGATAAACTGGACTCTTTCAAAATTAAAACTTTTGTGCATCAAAGAACATCGTCAAGAAAGGAAAAAGACAACCCACAGAATGAGAGAAAATATTTGCACATTGTATGTCTGATAAAGTCCTAGTATCCCAAAGATATAAAGTACTCTTAGAACTCAACAAGGAAAAGAAAACCCAATTTAAAAACAGATTTAAAAATAAGCAAAAAGAAAAAATGAATAGACATTTGCAGGCATGCTGTTCTAAGCAAAGTTGGCTTATATCTGCTCAGCTTTTTCAGTGTGTTCATTATTTGGAATAAGCACTTTTTACAACAATAAATGGACTATATTTTGAAACACAGCACATTTTCTGTTAAAATTTTGAAGTCTCAAAATGGCAGACATTAAATTCAGATGCAATAATCCTGAAAGAATTGTTTTTTCATAGCTTTAAAAAAAAATTGAAACATAATCGGTTGTACATCTCTGTGGGGTACATCATTGAATTTCGATACCTGTGTGCAACATGTGATGCTCAGGTCAGGATGGCTAGTGTGTTCCGCATGACACAGTGTAATCAGAGCCACAAAGAACTGAGTTTTTAATTGCATTGCAAAATATTAAGATAAAATGTGCCATATTACAAAAGATAATACATTGTAGAAAGTGCCTATTTCAGATAAACAAAACTAAAAGCTGGGTAGATGGGGGGCTGCTTTTGTTTAAAACTGGTTGCTTAGATCATCTCACTTCTACATGGAATCTGAAAAAGTTGAAGTCCTAGAAGCAGAGTAGAACGCTGGGTACCAGGGGCCGGGGGTGGGGAAAGGCACATGTTGGTCAAAGGATACAAAGTTGCAGTTCGGGAGAAGAAGTTTCAATATTGCACACAGCGGTGACTGTAGTTAATACAAATATATTGTACATTTCAAAATTGCTAAGGGAGTATTTTATAAATGTTCTGGCCCGCCAAAAAATATGCAGGTGAGGTGATAGATATGTTAATTAGCTTGATTTAATAATTTCACAATGTGTACATACATCAAAACATCCCACTGGGGCCGGCCCGGTGGCGCACTGCTACAGTGCGGCGCTCCCGCCGAGGGTTCGGATCCCACATACAGACCGGTTCCTGCTCACTGGCTGAGCGAGGTGTGGGCGCGGCACCTGGGGTTGCGATCCCGTTGCCGGACACGAAAAAAGACAACAAAAAAAAAAAAAAAAAAAAAACATCCCATTGGACCTCATAAATATATACAATATTTGTCAATTATAAAGAAAATCTTAAATTCTAATTTTTTTAAAAACTGCATGCTTAGGGCCGGCCCGGTGGCGCACTGGATAGTGCGCCGTTTGGGAGTGCGGCGGCGCTCCCACCGAGGGTTCGGATCCCATGTGGAGACCGGTTCCCGCTCACTGGCTGAGCGTGGGGCGGGCGCAACACCGAGGGTTGCGATCCCGTACCGGTCAGTAAAAAAGACAAAAAGGAAAAAAAAAAAAAAACTGCATGCCTAGAGATGTCTGTCCCCCCCCCCCTTTTTTTTAACCCACGTTTAGCTCATTTTTAAATTGGGTTGTGTTTTTGTCATCTCAGTACTTTATACGTTTTGGATATCCATGTTCACAGGGTCATTTTATTTCATGAGCATCTTATGCGAAGCGTTCAAGACTGAGTACCTTTGTTTAGGAGGCTCCCCTCCTGCTCTGGGTATTTTTTTTTTGGGGGGGGGGGTCTGGCCAGTGCAGGGATAGATCCCTGGACCTCGGTGTTATCAGCACCACTGTTGAACCAACTGAGCTAACCGGACAGCCCAGCATTTTTTTTCTTAGCCCTGATCTAGGGAGGAAAAGAACTAGCCATCTGGGGATAATTCATCCCATGGCAGTACCTGGTGTGTGTCTCTCTCCAGGCTCTGAAGCACAAGAATCCAGCTTCGTGCACATCTCCGTGCTAGTGGTCCTGGGGAGCTTCGTCTGTGCCCTGGCCCTGATCTTCCTCCTAAAAAGGTAATCCCCAAATCCAAACTGTGTTGGCATCACCCACCGAGCAGGAAACGTGGAGAGAAAGATGCTTCAAGACGAAGTCTGCTTCTCCCACAGAGAGATAGACAAGCTGCATAAACTCCCAGGCATTCGATCAGTGCAGCCACTGATATGGAAGACTTGTTTGGGATAGGGAAGGAAGGGAGAGCAGGAAAAACATGCAATGACAGAGACAGCAGAGAGTAGCTCCGAAAGAGCGCAGGAGCCTGTCAACGCCTGCACAGTGCGAGCCACGTGCTGGAGCCGACAACGGGGGCTGGATCCCAGCCCCTGATGGGCAGCTCCGGTCTCCTGCTCTGAGACACTTCACGTTCTCCAGATGGAGCTGACCCCGTGCTCCTGCCACACACAGCACCTCTGCTGAGCTCAGCTGCACCCACAGAGGTGGCAGCTATGCCACACCTGGCTGCTTCTTCCTGGAATGCCCCTCCATAAATCTCAGCCTCCAGGGTCCAACCAAGCCCACTCCTCCCCAGGAGGCCTCCTAGATCCCAGCCTGCTGCAGCTTGTCCATCCTCCAGACCATCAGCCTCTCTCCCTGGGTGGGCTACTCCAAGGAGAATTCCCTGGGCCTTTCCCAGGTGTGATTTTAGCACCAAGTGGGGTCCCGGGGCACCTCGCAGATGCTTTTGAAGAAAGCATGAGTAAGTAAAATCACCCCGCGCATATGTGTTTTGCAAGTTGTGCTTTGCAAAGCACGGGAGTGTTTGCAGTGGGTGACTGTCCTGGTGGATGTGGGAACCATGTCAGTGTCCAGCTGAGGCTCATCTCCACATCCCCATCCTGGGATGGTGTCCCGTGTTCATTTCCTCCTGACTTACTGCACAGAAATGGAGCTCAGAGAGCTGGGTAGGTGCTGAGCTGCTTGCTGAGTACAGCAGTGAGATAGCACTGTTTTCCCAGAGCCGGAATCTGGGAGCAAAGAGGAGCACTGGCAGGGACAGATAGTTATCTTAAGGGAAGCACTGTGAGTTTCCTAGGCTGCTGCAACATTACCACAAGCTGGGGGTTTAAAAGAGCAGAAATTGATCCTCTGTCAGATCTGGAGGCCGAAGTGTGAGGTCCAGGTGTGGCAGGACAGTGCTCCCTCCAGAGGCTCCAGGAGAGGATCCTTCCTGCCTCTTCCAGCTCCTGGTGGCTCCAGGTGTCCCTGGGCTTGTGGCTGCATCAGTCCAGTCTCTGCCTCCATCTTCACGTGGCTTCTCCTCTGTGCCTGTGTCTCCTCTTCTGTCTCTTATGAGGACACTTGTCATTGGATTTAGGGCAACCCCACTCCAGCATGACCTCAAGATTCTTAAATACACCTGCAAAGACCCTAGTTCCAAATGAGGCCCTATTTACAAGAACCACCAGTTAGAACCTGAACATATCTTTTCAGGGGACACTGTTCTGCCCAGTTCAAGCACCTATTGATAATGCTATAGAATTAGAGGCGCTTTCCCTGCAGAAAAAAGATAAACACCCCTTTCAAACTGCAACAAGACTGATCCTTGGCAAATCTAAAATACACCAGTTAAGAAGTCATCCTAAAAATAGGGAACAAAGCAGAAACACAGAAAACTGAAACAGAAAACCGCCAAACCAGAAACCACACTCTTCAAGGCAGGGTGGAAGCATGAGGGACACTTGCCTCATCAGTCCCCTGGGCTTTCAACACTGGGGACCCTGGACCCCCGAAGCTGCCCATGACTGACCACATTCCCCAATCCCTGTGACTGAGTGAAGATTCCAGAAAGATTTCTCATAGGCATCACTCTATATTCCTCTAGTATCTGCTGTTTTCTCAGCTACCTAAGATTTTAGTCATCCATGATTCGTAAGTGAACGCGTCCTGGAGAATCGGGCCCAGGTGCCATTAACGTGGTGTGACAAAAGACACCGCATTGGCCCCTGAAGAAGGTTGGTCATCCGCTGTTTTCTTCTCACATTTTCCGTCTCCCTAGGTTCCTTGGGAGGCACGGCCTTTTCCCCCCAATTCCACGGGTCAAAGATAAATTGAATGAAAACCACCAAGTCGCCGACCAGGTGGGTGTGGGTGAGCAGAGACGGCAGCCAGCAGGAAAGCAGGACACAGTCAGCCAGGGAAGTGCCCCCGAAACGCTCCCACGTTCACCTGATAGGACCACAGAGTCGGTCCCAGGCCTGCTCGCTGGCCGCCTGCCGCATTAGGGATCAGGGTCATCTCTGTGAACTCCATCTGGGGACATGGGGGTGGGGGAAGGAAAATGGGGGGAGAGACAGACACAGACACACAGACACACAGACACAGGGAGGGAAGGGAGAGAGACAGAGACCAAGACAGAAATGGGGACAGAGAAAGACAAAGAGGCAGAAACAGAGAAATAGAGAAAGAGAGACAGACAGAGGGAAGAGAGACGGGTCTGACCCGGTCTTGCAGCAGGATCCCAGAGAGGGCAAGAAAGAGCATTCGGCAGCGTGACCTGCCCCCCGAGACCCCTCAGATGCACGTGTTCCTCCTGCCTCCTCCTGTGACCACCCACAGGGTCTCCCCACCGTGGCGAGGTCATATCCACCAGGGCCCCGTCACTCACCCCATTTTTTTTTTCTTTCCTGGAAATCATGCAGAGATTCATGTGGGTTTTTTCTTCTGTTTTTAATTGAAGCATAACGATTGTACATATTTGGGGGCTACAGAATGATATTTTGATACAGGTGCACAATGTGCGATGATCACATCAGCATAATTAGCATAGTCGTCATGGCAAACACGTATCACTTCTCTGTGATGGGAACTTTGCATCTCTTGTAGTCAACCGAGAACGTGCAGTAAATGATTGTCAGTTTCAGACGCCCAGCACTTCTGTGCACACTAGAAACGATTCCCCCTAACTAGCTGTGATTCCAGATCCCTTAACCAAACGCTCTACCCCCTCACCCCTGCCCTTCTCAGCCTCTGGGAACCACGATTCTACTCTCTTTTCCTAAAAGTTCAGCTGGTTTCTTTTAGCTCCCACCGAGGAGTGAGACCAGGTGGCATTGATCTTTCTGTACCCAGCTTCAGACCCACGATGTTGCCACCAATGACAGGATTTCCTTCCTTTTCATGGCTGAGTCGTATTCCACAGTGTAAATATTCCACATTTTCTTCCTGCGTTCATCTGTCAGTGGACACCGACCTGGCCGTCTCTTGTCCATTCTCGTCACCCGCACACCCACCTCCTCCCTACCGTGCTTTCCTGTGACCTCCGGGATCCCCCACTTCCAGGCTCCAGGACAGGAACCTCATTTTTCCCATCACCACTGAGCACTGCCCAACCCCAGGGCCTTTGCACCTGCCGTGTCCCCACGCTGGATCCCCATTCACACCCAAGCTCTCCCTGGTCACCCGTCAGCCACGAGGCCACACACGTAGATCTGTCTCAGATATTTATCAGAGAGAAAAACAACCCCACGCGCTGGGCTCATGAAAATGCTTCCTCACTTGTTCTTTTTCCTCAGATAGTCTGGGAGGAATTCACACCAGGAGCAGGAAAAGGTGACAATGAAGACGTCTTAACCGTAGAAGACGTCGCATAAGGCTCAGGTGCTGGCGTGGGAATTGACCTACGCCCTGAGACATTCTGGAAATTGGTTTTTGTTCCGGGGTTGTTGGGGTTTTTTGCCAATGTTGTGAGCCTCTGTATAGTTTTCTATCTTTTTTAGCTAAAAAAAAATGTGATATTTTGGCAAAGAATCTTGCAGCCTGAGGAACTGTTCGGTCCCCTTCGGACAAAGCCATGTAAGGCACTGTCCTGCCTCCTGCATCAACGATGGACACTTGGTTGGAGCCCCACAGGAGGTGTCCTCCCTGCCAGTGGCACCTGGGCTGGGACTGCTGGCCCCTGACACCCCGGCGTTCCCTGTTGGGGCATTTGCTTCCTTTTTCCTTCCACCAGCTCCTGTTTAGCAGTCAATGAGCATCCTGTCCCCAAGGGATCACAAACCGATGAGCTTAAAACAACACGCATTTGTTATCACGCAGCTCCAGCAGCCACGTGTCACACACGGGTCCCCCTGGGCTCAAATCCAGGTGTCAGCAGGGCTGGCTCCTACTGGAGGCCCCAAGAGCAAATGGTTTTTTCCCTCTCTCCAGTTTCTAGAGACTGTGACATTCTTTGTCTGGGGCCCTGCATCCTTCTGACCCCTATTTCCATCCTCACATCTCCTCCCCTGTGTCTGACCTTCCTGCCACCCTCCTATAAGGACCCTGTGATAACATTTAGGGACCACCTGGACAATCCCGAATCATCTCATCTCAAAATCCTTGATGTAATCACATTTGCAGAGTCCCCTTTGCCATGTAAGAGCACAACTTAAGAGGTTCCAGGGTCTAAGTGGGGACATCTTTGGGGTCATTATTCTGTCTAACACATTGGGGCTGGGATGTGGACATCTCTGGCGGCTGCTGTGGATTGAATCGTGTCCCCCCAACCACCACCAAAGTTTAATATGTTGGGGGCTTGGTATTCACTGTGACAATATTAAGAGGGTGGGAAACCCTATTGTATGTGAAAGGGCTTTGGAGAGGTGATTCGACTGTGAGGACCATGCCCTGATGAATGAATTAATCCACTGATGGTTTCATGGTGGTCGTGGGCGTAGTTCTGATGGCTTTAAAAGGAGACTCTGTGAGAAGCTCTACCTCCCTCTTTGCTCAAGCCATGTTCCATGTAACCCCCTGTGCCACTTCAGAGTTACCACTAAGAAAAGGCCCCCACCAGCTGTGTTCCCTGGACTTTGGACTTCCCAGCCTCTGAAACTGTAAGAAATAAATTCTATTTCTTTATGCATTCCTCAGTTTCAGGTGTTTTGTTATAAGCAGCAGAAATGGACTAATGCTCCATTATTCTGTCCACCACGTGGGGATTAGGACGTGGACGTCTTTGGGGACATCAGGCTTTTTCCACAAGCAGCAACTGACACCATCAACATAGATGCTTGCTCGTCAAGTACAATAGTGGCTCATAGGGGGGTAAAGAATCCACAGGGACTTCAGAGAAACAGAATGTCGCCAGGGTCCAGAGCTTGGGGTTGAGGGTGATCTGCGTCTGAGATGTCAGCTTAGTTCTTCTTGTGTTCCTCCTCCAAACCCTGGTCAGTCCTGTGCTTCTGAGCCTCAGGGGAGGTTTGCAGCAGGGAGCCAAGGCAGCCTTCTGGCTCCTTCTTGTCCTGACCTTTGTGTCCAGGAGCCGCAGCCCAGGGAGGAGACAGAGCCAGGCTCTTGGAGGAGGTCATCAGAGACACAAGCAGGGAGGGAAAGGATGGGGCGTCCTGGGACAGCTTGGTGAGAGGGGAGGAGATTCTGAAATAGTGCCCCGGAAGCAGGTCCATCTCCTGAGGGGGGTGCTGCATCCCTGGGCATGATCCCCCAGGCAGCAGAGACCTCCCACGCCATGCTCAGCTCAGAAGCAGAGGTCTTGGGACTCAGAGGGAAAGGATGGGCTTGGACCTGAGGGTGACCGAGGCCCCGTGAAAGCTGCAGATGACACCCCCCCCCCTTGTTCCCTGGCACCTAAGGACACTCCACGGCGATGAGGGGGGGAGGGGTCTTCCGAGCTGGCTTCTGTTCAACTGGATCACACTGAAGGAAAGGAAATGGAGACACTGTATCCGTGGCACAAGCAGACTTGAGAAGACTTCATAAAAATGCAGTAAGGCGAGGTTCAGACTTCGGGGGTGTCCCCTCACCTGTGTGGAATTAGGGAGGGGCAGGTGAGGGACAAAGGAGGGGGACAAGAGCAGGAGAGGTTGGGTGGACAACCATGAGTCTGGGGGACAGTGGGAGCGCAGGTGTGTCCCCAGCACTCAGCCCTGCGCAGGTGTCTTCTTCCTTGACATTCCCATTAGGTCCAGCTGGGGCTGCACCTGCTCAATCCTGTGACCAACCACCATGTCAGAGAACCCTGGGGATGCAGGGAGCTCGGGTGTGTCCCCAGCACTTGGCCCCAGGCAGGTGTCCCATTGCTGCTCCCTTCATCCCCGGGACGTGGATCTAAAGCTGCACCTGCTGATTCCAGTCAGACTGGCCCTAGGAGAGAGCCCCGTGGCACATCCTTGCCTGTGAGGGTTGCTAGCTCCGGGCTCCCATCCACACGTCCCTCCAATCCTTCTCTCTGTGTGTCCCCTCCCAGAATGACCCCGTGCCCGTGGAGGAGGAGGCCAGTCCTGTGCTCACACCAGGAGAATTTCAGGAACTTGCTAACCTCAGAATTGCTCAACAGGATGAGAGGCAGGCACCACGGAGGGCAGATGGTGACTGTGTTGGTCTCATTGAGGAACAACCAGATGGGCTATTGGGGAGCCCACCTCCCACTGGGGCTTCTGCCCTTGGCTACAGAGACATCTCCCAGCCTCTGGAATGTCCTGACCAATGACAGGGTCTTGTGTGCCTGGGGCTTTGGCTGCTGGATGGTCTCACAATGTGATTGACGATGGGGTCTTGGGACATGCCATTTCAGTCCTGACCTCCAGGAGGGTCTGGAGACTAAGCCCAGCCACACAGGCCATACTGGATGGAGTTCCCAGTAAAAACTGTAACCGTGAGGGTATCGGATTTCCATGAATTCCAGAGTCCTTGTAAACTATTATCAAAACTGAGGGTGGTCCTGGAGACGCCAGTCATGCAGTCGGGGCAGAAGGAAGGGTGGTCCTGTGTGGAGTCTTCTCTGTAAGTTCATGGCTGTCTTTACTCTTGCAGGGGTGGGGTATGCCCCCAAGCCCCCTGTGGAGGCTCCAACAATGACCCCTAAATAGGATAACCTGCCTTTAATTTGGCAGGTCATTTTCTGAGTGCATATGTACACACCAAACTCTGTTCTAGGCACTGGAGGGGCCCCCGGTGGGTCAGAGGAGGCAGAGAGAAAAGAACTCACCCCAGTGGTGCCCTCCTTGTGGAGGGGACACTGACAATGGGATAATAAGGGAGGAATGCAGGTCACGTGTGAGCAGTGCATTCCCGGGACGACAGCAGAGTGCTGGGGAGCATATGATTTCAGAACATGCAGTTGGAAAAGGACCCTGGAAATTGGGGCATCCTCGAGAGCCCCAGAGGAGTGAATTTTGAAGCTAGTCCTAGACACGATACCATTTTGGCGTGGACATTTCCTAGAGTCTCCAGAAGAGGACTTCAGCATAATCACATGCCTTTCTCTCTCGTGCATGAGAAGCCATCCTCCTAGAATAATTCCTCAATGCCACGATACAAATTCCTCAGGGCTCAGTCTACCTTCACGCTACCCCCATGTGTCTCAAGTGCATCTTTTTATACACGTGGTCTGTTTGCAATAGAGCCCAAAAAAGGTCCACACTTTGCATTTGTGATATGGTTTGAATGTGTTCCCCAAAACCCACGTGTTGGAAACTTCATCCCTGGTGCAGCAGCACCAAGAGGTGGTGGACTAATGGGTGGTGTTTAGATCAGACTCTGTCCTCATGAATGGGTTCGTGCTGGTTATAAAAAAAGCTCAAGACTGCAAGTTCAATATCTTCCTCTCTTACCCTATCTTGTTCTTTCAACTTCTGCTGTGGGATCACACAGCAAGAAAGTCCTCGCCAGATGCCAGCACCTTGACCTTGCACTTCCCAGCCTCCAGAGCTGTGAGAAATAACTTGCTTTTCTGTATAAATTACCCAGTCTGTGGTATTCAGTGTTGGCAACACACAACAGACTAAGACAATGTGTCTCTTCCATGTATTTGATCTGCAATGGTTTCTGCCCTCACCACTCAGTTTTACTCTTATCTACCTGATGAGGAAACAGGGTCGTTGGTTCGTATTTGGCTGGTCATGTGCATGTGTCTCCTGGTAGTGGCATTTAGCCTGTGCTTCTATCCACATTTCCTGTGTCTGGGTAGCTAGACCTAGTGGCTTGGTTACATTTAGCTACACTTCCTTTTTGCAAAAACATTTCAAGTGCTGCAGCAAGTTTCTTGTTCTACCACAGCCAGAGGCATGGATATCTGGAAGCCCCACCTTGGGTGAGGCTGAGATAACAGCAGGTTCAGGAGACATTGGCCAGGAACCATGTGTTTTTTTTTTTTTGTCCTTTTTGAGACTGGCCACACTGTGCTCAGCCAGTGAGCGCTGTGAGCACACTGGTCATCCCTATATAGGATCCAAACCCGCGGCAGGAGCGCTGCTGCGCTCCCAGCACTGCACTGTCCCGAGTGCGCCACAGGCTCAGCCCCAGGAACCATCTTTATGAAGCTCTTCATCCAAGACTTTCCACTGGCTGCTATTGGTGATTGCGGCCCAGGTCCAATATTTCAGAGGGAAGATGCCAAATGGTGGTTTTTAATTCTAGCATTCTTCCGCAGGACAAGTGGCACGCATTTACAGACTGCTCCTTAATGCTTGGTTTACTCTGAAGTGTAGCCTGTATAGGGATGGTAGATCAATGAATCTCTATGTGCCTATCAATCACGTATCCATCATCTGTCTATCCATCCATCCACCTATATACCCATCTACCTATCTGTAGATGGATGATAAATAGATAAATAATGAATACATGTTGGATAAATACATACAAATTAGCTAGATTAGATCAGACAGATAAATATACACATGTAATCAATATAATGGATTGCAAATTCCAATAGACACTTTCCCTAAATAATAGTAAAAAACAAATTCATATCTAATCAATATAAAAAATTTCAGTAGGTGCCTCTTGTGAATTGGATGTGTCCTCCAAAAAGATATGTTTCCTTTCTAACCCATGGTATCTGTGAGTGTGACCTTATTTGGAAATGAGGTCTTTACAGAAGTAATCAAGTTTAAAAGAGGCCTTACAGTGGTTTCTAACCCATATGACTGATGTCCTTATACAAAGGGGAAATTGGACATAGAGACAGACACAGAGGAGAAGCCACGTGAAGACAGAGGCAGAGACTGGAGTGATGCGGCCACAAGCCCAGGGACACCTGGAGCCACCAGGAGCTGGAAGAGGCAGGAAGGATCCTCCCCTGGAGCCTCTGGAGGGGAAATGGCCCTGCCACACCTGGATCTCAGACTTCTGATCTCCAAAAGTGGGAGAGCATAAACTTTTTATTGTGAGGCAGGATGGAAACTTGCACAGGAGCTGACACTGCCATCTTGAGGCAGAATTCCTTCAATGACGCTTGCAAAACATCTTCACAACTACCCCCACATGAGTGTCTGATTGAATACCTGCTGCTGTGTCCGAGCCACATGGACACATAAGACTGACAGAGAAATATTTGGTGTGGGGTGCCAGCTTGGTCAATGGGTACATGATGCCCCTGGGACCCTCCCCATGAGCTCCTCTCCAGTCCATCAGGTCCACCTGGGGGACTCCCAGGACAGACTCTTTGTCCTGCAGTTTGCTCCTGGCAAAACTTTAGGGAAGAAATTGTATGTTGTGGTGAATGTGTAATCCAACCCTCCAGAAAATGAAACAAAACAAAAAGCCCTCATTTGCAGCAGCCGCCAATTCCTATGGTGTAAATGCCCCCACTGCAGCAAACTTCTAGCTTCCAATGGCTTCACAACAGCTCCCAAACTGCTGGGTGGCGGCAGGTAGTCTCCAGAGCCTGGTGGCTCCAGCTCTGTCCTGCTTCAGAGTTTTGGGTAAGGAATTTGCCTCCAGGTACAAAGCTCTGTTATCCCAACTGTGTGAATTTCCTGAGAGCTTTGGAAAGCTCTGAGTTCCTGCAGGGAGGGAGGGAGGGGAGACGGGAAGCCAGGAACACAGACGTCCAACTTGGGCAAACGTTCTCTGTGCTCGATCACAGGTGGTTCCCAAGCGGTGTTGAGCTCCACCACCAGT